TGAAGGCTTTATGGCCAAATGATCTTCGACCACCTTTTTCGCGATCAAACCACTGTCAAGGTTGATCGTCTACAAGGAGACTTCAGTTGCGATATCAACTTCATCATAAGGATATCTTTTCCCAAGGTGATTGACTTGATTCCTCAAAATTTGTTTGGGGAACAGATCGTAGGGGAACAGATTGTTAAAGACTTTGTCATCTTGGGCCAGTTTTGCGCTTTTGGGCGTTTTTGACTGATTCTGTCGGTTTTTGTCGGTTTTTGTCGGCTTTTGCCGGTTTTTGTTGGTTTTTGCCGGATTTTGTCGGATTTTGTCGGAGTTTATCGGATTTTGCCGGGCTTTGTTGGCAACTTGTGATTTTCAACGTCTGGCTTTCATTCTGGTTCGTTCCTTATTATTCGTGCTTGCAGTTGTTGCTGTTGTTGCTGTTGTCAATGGACGTTTGTTGCACGGTTGTTTGGTTGTTATTATTGTTTGCTGGTTGTGACGTGTGTTGCTAGCTTTTGTTTGTTATTATTGTTTGTTGTAAACAACTGACAACAGTTCAACAATTGTGTGCTGTCCGTCACGGTTCTTACTGGTTGCTTTTTCCATGTCGTTAAAGTTCTCTGTCCGTCACGGTTCTCAGCGGTCGGTGTTGAATGTTTTTCCCGAAAGCATGGCGAAGGGTTCTTCCGCTGGGTTCACTTGAGTTGTTCTCATGAGAGTGCTTACAAGGTGTCATTGCAAGGAATCATCATCATGAAAGTCATTGCAAGGAGTCATTGCAAGGAGTCATTGCAAGGAGTCATTGCAAGGAGTCATGGCAAGGAGTCATTGCAAGGAGAGTGCAAGGAGTCATTGCAAGGAGTCATTGCAAGGAGTCATTGCAAGGAGTCATTGCAAGGAGTCATTGCAAGGAGTCATTGCAAGGAGTCATTGCAAGGAGTCATTGCAAGGAGTCATTGCAAGGAGTCATTGCAAGGAGTCATTGCAAGGAGTCATTGCAAGGAGTCATTGCAAGGAGTCATTGCAAGGAGTCATTGCAAGGAGTCATGGCAACTTGCAACTTGATTGCAACTTGCACTTGCACTGCAACTTGCACTTGACTTGACTTGCACTTGACTCCTTGCACTTGCAACTTGCACTTGCACTTGCAACTTGCACTTGCAACTTGCACTCCTGCACTTGCAACTTGCACACTCCGTGCACTTGCGACTTGCACTTGACTCCATGCACTTGGCTCCTTGCAACTTGCAATGGCTCAATGACTCCTTGCAATGACTCCTTGCAATGACTCCTTGCAATGACTCCTTGCAATGACTCCTTGCAATGACTCCTTGCAATGACTCCTTGCAATGACTCCCAATGACTCCTTGCAATGACTCCTTGCAATGACTCCTTGCAATGACTCCTTGCAATGACTCCTTGAAACAAGCAAGGAGTCAAGTGCAAGTTGCAAGTGCAAGGAGTCAAGGAGTGCGAGGAGTTAAAATCTCTTCTTAGGGTGGCGGGTAGTGCCGACGACACTACACGAAAATCGACCCTCTGCGGGGATCGGCGTGGTCGAGGTGCAAAAACCCATGGTTTTTTGCGATTTCTGCGCTGCTCGCGCGACCATCTGCGGGGATCGGCGTGGTCGAGGTGCAAAAACCCATGGTTTTTTGCGATTTCTGCGGTGCTCGCGCGACCCTCTGCGGGGATCGGCGTGGTCGAGGTGCAAAAACCCATGGTTTTTTGCGATTTCTAACATGCTCGCGCGACCCTCTGCGGGGATCGGCGTGGTCGAGGTGCAAAAACTCTTGGTTTTTTGCGATTTCTATCATGCTCGCGCAACCCTCTGCGGGGATCGGCGTGGTCGAGGTGCAAAAACCCTTGTTTTTTGCGAGTTCTGCGGTGCTCGCGCAACCCTCTGCGGGGATCGGCGTGGTCGAGGTGCAAAAACCCATGGTTTTTTGCGATTTCTGCGGCGCCCGCGCAACCCTCTGCGGGGATCGGCGTGGTCGAGGTGCAAACACTCGAGGTTTTTTGCGACTTTTGTTGTTCGAACTGGTCCTCGGGAGTTGTCTCGTGGTTCGCGCGCCTGCTCCCGGGCCGGTCGCGGGTTCGATTCCTCCCTGGTCCGCGGGCGGGCGTCGCAAGACGCAACTTGCATCTTAAAGCGACTTGCGCAGACCAACTTGCACCGACCAGTTTGCGCAGAGCGCCTTGCCTAGAGCAACTTGCGCAGAGCAACTTACGCAGAGCAACTTGCACAGAGCAACTTGCACAGAGCAGCTTGCACAGAGCAACTTGCAGGGAGCGCAATTTGCACAACTTGCGCAGAGCAACTTACGCAGAGCAACTTGCACAGAGCAACTTGCACAGAGCAGCTTGCACAGAGCAACTTGCAGGGAGCGCAATTTGCACAGAGCAACTTGCAGGGAGCCACTTGCAGGGACCAACTTGCCGGAGCAACTTGCGCGGAGCAACTTGCGCAGAGCAACTTGCACAGTGCAACTTGCGTAGAGCAACTTGCGCAGACCAACTTGCACCGACCAGTTTGCGCAGAGCACCTTGCCTGGTGCTGTCTCGCGCTTGCTTCACGAATGCTTCGTGTAGGGAAAAAGAACGCATCCTGCAGCGTTGGGCCGACCTCGCTTGCGATGTTCTGCTTTCGGGCCAACCGTGGTCTAGTTGAAAGTCTCTGTCCGTCACGGTTCTTACTGGTCGCTTCTTCCGCGTTGTTAAAGTTCTCTGTCCCTCACGGTTCTCAACGGTCGCTATATCCATGCCTTTGAAAGTTACGGTTCTTACTGGTCGCTTTTTCCACGTCGTTAAAGTTATCTGTCCGTCACGGTTATCAACGGTCGCGTGTTCCATGTCTTTGAAAGTCTCTGTCCGTCACGGTTCTTATTTTTGGTTGCTTTGTCCACGTTGTTAAAGCTCTGTCCGCCACGGTTCTCAACGGTCGTTTTCTTCCCATGTCTTTGAACATCTCTGTCCGTCACGGTTCTTGATGGTCGCCTTTTCCACGTCGATAAAGTTCTCTGTCCCTCGCGGTTCTCAACAATCGTTTTTCCATGTCTTTGAAAGTCTATTTTGTCTGTGTGTGTAGGTTTGGTTGTCGCTTACTGTTATTGTTATTGTATTGTTGGTTGTTGCGTTGCTGCTCCTGTTGTGTTTGTGTTGTTTCTTGTTAGTTTGTTCCTTGTTCTTGTTACATTGTTTGTTGGTCACTGATTTTTGGCTGTCAATCTTTAATATTCAAAGGTATTACTGGTAGTACATAATTGGGCGCCGTAGCTGATTGAAATTGTTTTTGTTTTTAAAAAACTGTCAGTGTTTGTTGGTTTTTGTCGGGTTTTGTCGGCTTCTGTCGGTATTCTTTCTGGGGGGCCTTACGATCTGTTCACCTACGGTCTGTTCCCCGAATTTGCTTTAATGATTGATTGTTTACATCTTCACGCCAGCCAGACGCACAATCCTTCAACACAACTAGGTCTCAACTTTTGCAGTCAGTCTTCATGCGCAGAGTTTGTGGAATTATTGTAGATGTAAGACAATTCGACATGTCCGAGTCACAGAATAGAGTGGCTACTTTGATATGATCGAAATCGATCTACGAGTTATGGCCACGGCACATAGAAAATATGGCTACGGCAAAAGAGCCGTGTGAGTTTCAGCTTCGACGCCAACGGTCAAACTATTTTTTGCGCCTGCTTTGCCCTGTGCTTCGCAGACCATTGGGGCAATCAGTTGTGTATCACGTACACATACATTTTCTACCGATAGAGTCATACTCGCCACAGAAACAAAGACGACCTCGCTGCCGGGGAAATGAGTGTCAACCAACTATCAGACCACCAATTAATTAGACTATCGTTGAGAAACTGAGCGAGACCTAGGGAGGAAGGGGAGGTGCACACCCCGGAAAGTTGTGTAGGCTGTATTCATCTGCAGCGAGGTATCGTTCACCAAACCGCCGATTTCGGGAATTACTTCGGGAACTTGTTCGAGAACTAATTCCGGAACCGGTTGGAGAACTTCTTCGGGAACTAACCTTTTCGGGAACTAGTTCGGAAACCCAACTCGGATCCTGAACTGGAACTATTCGGTCCTGGTTCGAATTCGGTTTCGGGCTGGGTTCGGACTGGCGATTCTTGTAGCTAATGAACCATATGTCCGGGGATTGTGTTGGGCGCGTGGTCAATGTCACCGTTGCTTAAAACGGCGTTATTCTAGCTCAACTGGGCTGGTTTGCACATTAAACAGTTGTTTGGGTTTCATGGACTTTGCAAAACACATTGTCTCAAGACAGTTGTCGACTGGGCCGTTTTCTTTGCTGTTTTCGGCCCTCATCACGTGCCAGGCATGCAGGTGCGCGCTGCGGTGCGGGTGTGCTTGCTCACATGTGCCTAGCATGTGTGCAGCGCGTGCAACGTAGCCGTGGGCGGATGCGCTGACGACTATGCGCTAAAACACATATATGTTGCTTATTTCATTTACAACCTATGTCACGAAACAGAATTTCCAAGCATACGTCAGTGGCTTTCGCAAAGTGGACGGCCCGGACGTTTTGCAGTCCTGTGGTGCAACCAGCGCCTGTTCCTTCCAAGGAGGGGTTTGCAAAATCGGGCCAGGTGGGTGCTGCGGTTGGGGGGTGCTGAGGCGCCGCAGTGTTCTGTTTGTGTGCCATTGGCGCTTGTTTTCCGACCAAGTCAGGGTGGGGCTGATGCGCTCGAGGTGTTTGGACGGGCTGCCGCGCCTGGCAGCTGGCCAACAGCCTGGGCAAGTTTCTGATTCACAACCAAAAACTGACTGACTGCGTGCTTCAAGGCTTCAATGTGCTGTCTCGGGGCGCTGCTTGCGAAAGCGGCTCTCCGCGCGCGCTTGGACATTCACTTGCGCTGAAACGCGTCTTGCAAATCAGTTTCTTGAACCGGGCTTGCTTGCAAAGCCGCCCTGCTCGGCTTTCGTTGTCTTGCTCGCGGCTCGAGCGCTTTCGAAACAAGAGCTGGCAGCTGTGAATCAAGTTCAGCGTGGCGGCTCTCAGCAATGTAACAAAAGGCTGTTGAAACGAGCCCCGCTTTTTGAGGCACATGTTTCACTCAGAACGGCCTGAAAGTCTCATTACTACCAATGAAGCTGGATCAGACCAGTGCATTGAAGCACGGCCTTGGTGCTGCAAGCGCCCTTCAAGGCCTGAACATCATTTATGCACATAACGTTGTCAGATGGATGACCACGCGGTGACATGCGTCAATGTCTCTTTCAGATCTTTCAGCGTGCTTCCTGGGTGTTGGCAAATATACCTCCCGGGCTGGTTGCTCGATCAAGAAGAACGCCGCTCACAATGCCAACTGCAAAGTCGACCTGGTAGCAAAGGACTGCTGTGGCGACCAGCACTCCGAACCGCATGCGGGCATCCTCGTTGGCAATGGCCGCCTTGAAAGCGTCACGTGTCGGGCCAAACTGCATGGTGTCAAGTGACACCGCCACCATGATGCCGGCCAAAGCAGGCACACTGATCTGGCCAACAATTGGTGCAAGGACCACGGCGAACAGAACCATCGAAACCGCATAGGATCCAACAGAGATTGGCCCTCCTCCGCCAGAGTTCAGATTCAAGACAGTCTGCGGGACGAGGCCGCAGCCGCCAAACCCACCAAACAAGACGGACAAGCCGTTGCCAGCCGCCAGTGACAGAACAGTCGATGTGGGTACGTCAACTGGGGCCGCCTCTCCATCCGGGGTGATGACCAACTCGCCGCTCTCATCGTAGAAAAACGTGCAAAGCTCTTCGCACTTGCGGTCATCCACCACACGTGCAGCCAGCAGCGTCTCAAGCAGGGCAATAAAGGCTATGGACACCGCGCAGGGCAAAGCAATGGAAATGTCGTCGATGGATGGCAGCTGGGGCAGCTGAAAATGGGGAAGAGCTGCCAGCCCCCCGGCAAAAGCCACGGGGTCTTTAGCCTTCTCAGCCAGCGTTGGCACATCAAAGTGGAGCGCGACGCCGACGCCACAGGCCACGGCAAGGCCGACCAGGGAGGATGGCACGGGTGCGGAGGGCAGGAGCTGTGTGAGCGCAGCACAGATCAAAGCGAGGCCCGCCGCCTGCGGAGTGGCCATGGCTCCAAGTTGGGACACGAGGAGTGCGAGGCCCAGTGCGTTGAGGAAACCCGCGAGCACCTCTTTGGAGACCAAATCCACGGCCCGGGCCAAGCCGAGGACGCCGGCACAGAGTTGGAGCAGCGCGGCCAGCGTCACCACCAGCGGCACCAGCGCCAGGCCGTGGGCCCCGTTTTGGGCTACGAAGCCGCCCAGAGGCACCACCACCACAGCTGCAGACCCGGCCACCACCCCCGGGCGCATGCCGGCGATGCTGGCAAGCCCCAGGGCCACGCAGGACCAAAGACCCACCAAAGGCCCCGTGCCAACAATGGCGCTGCACGCCAAGGCCTTGGACAGCAGCGAGAAGGCCACACTCACCCCCGCCAAGACCTCCTCAACCACTGCTTTTGCCTCTTTTGGTTCCTCTTTTGCACCTACTTCCACTTCCACTTCCAGTTCCACCGCGCGTGCCAAACCCGGACCCGATGGATGGCCGTGGACACCTCGGGCGGGTCCAACGAAGCTGGCACTTCGGATCCACCAAGCCGATGCCAGTGCCAGCACCCAAAGGCGCCGGCGGATCATGTTGCATCAGGAAACAGCGCGAAGTGGGGATCTGTATCAAAAGCTCTCTGTGTTGCTTGCTGTGTCATGTGCATTCATTTGCGCAAAGCTATGTCAGGTCGTGGGCACTTAGACGGACTGAACTCCCCAAGCAAAGACTCCAGTGAAGCTTCGCCAAATGCCCAGGCAGCATCTCTCAAAGCCAATCATGCATTGGCACGGGGACGCGCACAATCATTCTGCAATGGCTCAAATTGGTCATCCATCCTTTTCATGGATCATTGGCACGTCATTGCAACGCAGGTTGCCATTCGCGTTATGTACATCGCATCGCTTTGGGGCAATCCGAAGTGGCGCTATGCTGCATGGTGCATCATAGAATCCGCTATGGCGCATTCACAGATCGGTTCTCGGTCTCGGTCAGAGCCTACCATTGTGAGGCGTGACCCGAAAGCCTCAAGGACCTGACTGAGAACCTGGCTGTGGAAGGATCGTCCTCTTCGATTGAAGGACTCCCTTCCTTCAAGTGGTTCAGCAGCAAGTACATGTCCGTACCTTAGCAGCGAAACCAAACAAGCCAAACCAAACAAAAGCGTTGCTCCGTGCCGCAAACACACCGGCTCCCTCATGCTTCTTGCGTGGGAAACATCTGGAGTTACCACCCGGATTCAAGATTGAGAGAGCGGGCTGGAATTCAGTTGCAAACATGTTCAAAGATGGCAAGGCATGCGCGGCAGTGTGAAAACCTGTTGTGTAAAAAGCGGTACGCTTTCGCGGACACTGCCTCCCTCAGCGCTTTTGCGACGGATGCTACGAAGCACATTGGATCGACACGTCCGGAGTGCAGCGCACGTCAGCCAGAACAAACATCAGCTTTGGATGCACCCCTTTCTGGGAAGGGCATCGTTGACATCGAAAGCAACTCGAACTGTCTACACATGCACATATTGCACAGATTATAGCATTCTTCAGCTTACATGCGGCTTCTGGTATGGCATACGCGGCAAATGGCGCCGGGCAGCTTGCAAGAGAGCACCAGCTCGTGCAATGATCGAATGAACAAGTAGCAACTTGCTCGCTGTAAATTTAACAAAGCAGGCTTCAGCGATAGGCCCCGACCGTGACCAGGCAACGCCTGCATGAACACATCCCCGCCAAAGTACTGCGCATGCAGCCTGGCCAGGATTTGGACTTCTGGACGAGACGTGCTGCTGTGCTTTCTGCTTTTCCAGTTGCCATGCCTTGTCAGGGGCAAGCCGAAGCCGTACCCAGCCAGCTCCTTCCGCCAGGAGCATCCAGAGTAAGGATCTGCATCATCCTTCGCAAACGAGACATTGTGAGACCTGCAATGTGCAGCGTGCTGATCCTCATTGTCGGCAGTGGTCCAACCATACTGCCAGGCCTTGCAAAAGGTGGGGCGTGGTTTGAACATCTGTCTGTCGCGCACGAGCGCAAACACACTTACACAGACCAACACACACACTGTTAAAGTGGAACTAACTGTGTAAACACCTGATGGCCTAAATGTGTCAAACCTGTGATGTGTCAGCGCGGCACTTGTTGTCACTGCGGGCGAGGGCTGTAGGCTCTATCATGTGGATAGGCTCAAGGCCTTGATGTACAAAGGCCAGGGTCATGTACAAGGATGGATGTACATTAACACCCCTCTTCAAATTGTGCTATCTTAGCACACTTTGCCAACATGTACAAGTGTCCTTGTGGATCAGGATGATGTAAGAAACCGCTGCATGTAAACTAATAGCCAGAAAGCAGACGTGCTGCGCATCGATGTCCCTTGCTGTCGGATCAATTGTACCACGAAGAACGGTGTGCCATTGGGGCAAAATGTACTTGATGTACTCAAGCGCTGTCGTCCATGATCTTCTTTTTGTTGAGCAGCTTGTATCCTTGATGTTGCGACAAAATCATGGCGCTGTCAACCTTTTGCAAGCGTTGGTCGCTGTACCCAATCTGTCCGGGGATCAGGTCCGTGCTGTTTCCATCAGCTGCACTCCATGTTGGACAATGTACTCGATGACAATTGTCTTCAAAGGCTCCAAGATGGTCTGTGCTGCAGGATATGTATGATGTCTCAAAGCCATCCAGAAATTTGCATGGCTCCTGTTGAGGGGATTCTTTGCGTTCAGTACCTTCTCAATAGGGATAATGATGTGCTGAAGGATGATGTAGTCCTTGGTCAAATGGTATTTCTCGTGCCCTGTAAGCTTGTAGAAAATCCAAGATGTAAGACCTGTCCGATGTACTCGCGGTTGAAAACTGTAATCCTCTTCTCATAGACCTTCTGAAACAGTTCCTGTCTGCAGGCTGAGCTTGTACACAAAGAATGTGCCCAAGTCAACTGTACTGTCATGGCCCTCGTGTATCAACCAGCTGATGTAGCCAATGCAGTCTATGATGCTGTACAACATGCCGACGAAACCCAATGTCGGGTCGCATGATGATCCTGCTCCGTTGTAACAGTTCTTGTCATGAAGTTGTACTGTTCCACTGTAAGTGGGATCAACACCGTGGTGTAATCCTGAGGTTCCTCCGGTGTAGTCGGAACGATGACGTCCACAGGTTCCAATGTAAATCCGTCTGGAACCAGCATCTGTGGATGCAGAGTCTTGTATGCGCCATGTGCCATTGATGTAAAAGCCGAGTGTCTAAGGCTCCTGTAGACCTCAAAATGTGAATGGCTGCAAGCATGTGCCAAAAAATTGTTTGAGACATGTGCAAACTCACATGCAGATGTAGCTCCCAAAAGATGTTGGGGAAAAGATGTAGGGGTCATAAAAACAGGGTCGATTCATGGCTGATGTATGTACCCTAAAAGATTTTAACTACGCCGGCTGTTAGGTGATAAGACAAACATGTGTGAACTGTGCACCTGTTGTTTAACAACCTGCGCTGACTACTGCACTTGCTGGTGTGAAACTGTTGTGGTGCGACCTCACAGGCCAACGTTGTACAGGTGTTTGTTGAGAGTGTCGCTGCCAACAAACTTGGTAAGAATTTCGGCTGTGTTGTCTTCTGACCTACCTTGTGCATGGTGATGATTTTCCTTTTGACAAGTTGTTGTATGAAGAGGTGTCGCAGCTCGATGCGCTTTGCTTTCTTTGATGTGCCTTCTTGCATTGCTATTGATTTTGCTGCGCCGCTGTCTGTGTGTATCCTGATGTTGGTGCGTACTTCAAATGCTTCTTTGATGAAATTGCTGATGTAGAGGCTCTCCTGTGCTGCTGTACCAATCGCGTACAGCTCTGATTCTTCTGATGAAAGTGCTATTGTTGCTTGTGTTCTGCGTTGTCTCACACGACACCCAGTTGGCATCTGTGTATGTGTCAATGTTGAGTTGAATTCGTGTGTCCTGTGTTTGAATCTTCGGTCGCAGGGTGTGTTGCGAGTACCTTGTTCCTTGAAGGTATCTGATCATGTGCTTGAGCTTTTTGTTGTCAAGTTGTGTTGGTGCTTGTAGTGATCTTGCTAGCTCCCTTGCTCCATAGCTGATGTCTGGTCTTGTGTATGCTAGCCATTGCATTTTGCCAACAAGCCGCCTGTATTTCTTGTGTTGTTCTTGATCTAGTGGCGCTTCATCTTCTGCTGTACCCTGCATGTGTGGTACTCCTGGTGATGGTGCTGGGTTGCATGTGTAGTCATTCCTGATTCTTCCAGGATGATGTCAACATAGTTGTTGTTCAGGCTGATGTCAATGTGGTTGCCGTTGTGTGAAATGTTCCTGTCAAGGAAATGTATTGTTGACCCAACTGTTAGGTCGCCAGTGTGTCTCAGCAGGACTTTTTTTGTATTGCGCTGAAGAGCGTGTTGATGATGCTCTGTGCTCCTATGAAGAGGAGATTGTCTACATAGATCATGATGTAGACCTGACAGTCTATTGATTTGTAAACATTGCTTTCTGTTGCGCATCTCACAAGAGGATGTGTGCTATGTGGTCTTGCCAATGTTTTGGTGATGATCGTAGGCCATAAATGGCTTTGTTCAGCCGCCACATTCTGTGTCTGTTGTCATCATTGTAGAACTCATGTGGTGGTCGCATTACCAGGTTGTAAGAGATTGCTTCTGCATGTCGAAATGCAACACTGACATCTCCTGTGCTGAGTGACCAGTTGTACACCAATGCCATTGTGAGGAGTATCCTCAGTATGAAAAACAATGGTGTGCTTGCAAACAAGAGATCGTGGTCTGTAACGGGTTCTGTGTAGCCCTTTGCTACTATGCGTGCTCGCACTTCGTTGTGTTTCTGTTTGAGAACCCATCTAGACTCGATAATGTTTGCTGGTTGTTCTGGTGTCAATGTGTTGCCATCAACCTCTGTAAAGACTGATTGATCTTTCATTTGTTGTACTTCCTTCTGCATTCCTTGCGCTACCTGTTGTGGAGTCTTCTGTGTCATCTAGGATTGGCTCTAGTAAGATCCTTTCGTTCTTGACTTCTTCGGCATCTTCATTGGATGTTGTCTGCAATTGTTTACCATCATTTGTTGTGAACTCGATGGCAAGTATTATCATTTTGCTCTTTGGCTGTTCTGATGTTGTAGGTCGCTCAAGCACTTGTCTTTCTGCTGTGGTGCGCTGTTGCTTTCCTGTACTGCCTTCTGCTATGATGTCATCTCTTTCTCTTGCGGGTGATGTAGGCGGTGGTGCTGGAAGTGGTGGTCGCTTCTGGTGTGCTGGTGATGTAGCCATTGGTGATGTTGGCTCTGCTGTTCTCTTCTGCTTTGTTGCTTCTGTTGCGCTCTGTCTCTTGCCTTCTGCTGATGTGCTAGTTGTTGCATCTTTCTGCAATGGTGGTGCCTTGTCAATGGTGTTGCGAGAGTTGGTGTGCGCAGTGCTGATGCTGGTGTCTTCCATGGGCCTGTGTGTACACAGTCCAGCAGTTGCTGATTGTACTTGTGAGGCATAATCTGCCTTCTGGTTCTCCTTGCTCTGACAATCTTGTTGTAGATCCCAAGAAGGGATTCGCCTGTGGCTGTATCCTTGCCAAGCCAGACCCCATTGTAGAATCTTGGCTCGAGTTTTGGAAATTGTTTCACTGTTGGTAGCATGTATTGCGCTGTCTCACCAAACTCGCAAAGTGGTGTGTGTTGCTCTCTGTTCCATATGTTGAAGTAGCTTGTGCATCCATTGCTGTGAACTGCATACCTGTTCGTGATGTATGCGCCGTGTCGAACTATCCAAGGCATGAGTGGATGTTTCATTGAAATGTCTCTGTTGTAGTTTTGTCTGATCTGTGCCTTGAGTGTTCTTGCCAGAAGGCGGACCAACCACGTAGTCAAATGACAAGGCAGTTGGGGTTCGACTGACCAATACCCTCGACAGTGAGTCGTGTAGTAGTGGTCGTGGTAAAAGGGGGTTGTAAGGTACATGATCTGCGTCGTCTCACGACTTGATGCGACCGCAGAAAACGAACCCTTTTGCTTTGCTTCACAGCTGTGTTTGGATGTTTGCCTCGATTCTATTATCCAGGTCTTGAGCCAAATGCATTCGCATGTACATGTCGGCTGCACACAATACACAACTCCCCCAAAGGTTTAGGACCTTAAACAACGGGAAGTAACAGGGTAACCCTCAGAACCTGCCCTTAGGATGTTTTAGCCTGCGGCTCGGAGATTCTTAGCATCCCCCATCCTGGGCTTGGGTTCACCCCTGGGTCGGGAACCAATCACAAACGCATGCCGACACGCATGGACGCACGGCTTCTCTTGTTCAAGTGAAACATCTCTGCACGAGTTTGACCAGGTTCTGCAAACTTAACATGAAATGGGAATGCTACAATTCTCTTACCGGACCTCATGTGCAATGGTGCACATGCAGCAAGCTATCTATAAGGTAGTTGTACAGATCCAGAGCAGTCTGCAGAAAACGAGTATCCATGACGAGCATAGTCCTTCACCAATTTGTAACCTAGCATCAAATAATCGTTGACCACCAAATACCTAGCATCTCCAGAATAGTAGTCGCCGATGACGATACTGTACGGAAACAAGAAAACATTTTGTTGTGATAAATGCAAGTCTCATGCAAATACTTTTGGTTTGCCCAGTGTACCGCGCACGACGAGTACCACAAGGGCTGGCCATGATACCATGCACGATGAGTCTCACGATCCCATTGTGTATAAATGCAAATTCGAGTTGATCCCCCACGTAGAAGAAATCGTAAAGAAAATGGTTGATCAGTGTGATGATTCTGCGATGGCCTTTCTACTCGACCTCCGCCGGAACCTTTCTAAAAGAGAGTGGTGTCTCCTCGGTCCGATTGATCTTCTCGATAAAGCGCGAGGGTAGATGTATATTGCGAGAAAAGCACCATTGGATCAGAGGAGTGGCGACCTCTTTGACGCTTTGAATGCAAATGATGGCGCCAAGCTCAAGTTTCAAGA